TCGAGCGTGCTCCGAAGTACCGTCGAGTCGCGAGCGATGGGCGAGTCGAATTATTTCGCTCGAGTTACTCCCAAAACGAGTCAACTCTCTAGCTACTTTTTGTGAACTCTAGGTAGCTCGGTTCCATTCCCGCCGCGCCGAGCCGAATATTTCATTCATACAGGGCGTAGGCTACTCATTCTCACTATATTGTTTTTAAATGGTGTCCTTGTACAAACAAAATATTATCAAATCATACTTTTTATTTAAAACACCATATTTAATAAGATAATCTCATAAAACTGTTGCTCGTGGAAAGTTTTTCTTATCATAGTGGCAACGTTTCGGGGATGAACAGCCTTTGGCTGTCCTTAGTGTTTATTCGATTTTTAATTTAATTTGTTAGGTATAAACACAAACTTTAATTATTTAAATTATAAGTGTTTGTGTTTATACCTAACAAATTAAATTTAAAATCGACCTCATTTCTACTTATAAAAGTAGAAATGAGAATACTATTACATACTTTAATAATTTATTAAATGAAATGTTTTTTTATTGAGAATAATAAAATTCAAATAATATATTGAATAATTGTTAAATAATGTTAATTATAATGAACTGAAAAACGAAAAGTCAGTTTTTGGTTCAAGTCGTCGGGGTTGCATCCCAACCAGTGCATCACCGCGATTTTGTTCATTCGGTTGCTGTCGTTATCGAATGTGTTCCTTGCTGTGTATGCGTCGTGTTGTTGAGTTTTTGTTTTTTATTGTTGAGTTTTCGTTTTGTGTTAAGTTTTGATTTTACTCTGCTGTTACGTTTGTGTTTGCTTGGTTCGTGTGAACATAACTATAATGGAGGCTGACCCAGGTCCTTCAACAAAAAAAGACACTCTTTCGCCGGAGAAAAAAAAGATCACTATATTTATGACACAAAATGTTTCTAAACAGTTTTGTAAATTGTTCAACCCAGAAGGGTATTTATATTCAATTAGGTATAATTTATTAGTGAGAATAGTGGAACCTGTTAATAAACGAACGTGGAAAAAAAGGTTTTATGGTATATGAGATGTCGCTTTGACAGTGACAGTTGTTTGCTTACATTTTTTAGAGCTTAGCGAAATTTTTTTTTTTGTTTCGTATTTTTTCTTTCAACTGTGACATTGGCAAAATCATCAGTTCTCATATTGATGGAGCCATAAAAATAAAAAGTGAAGTGAAGTGACTTCGACTACATCTCCGCGTTTACTTTAGAGGATGGAAAAAAATAAGGAGTTTACATAGAAAATATTTGAAAACATTCGAACATTTGACATAAGCATGCCTATGAACTTCCTTAATTACTGACAAGCAACCACTTTCTTTATTTTTTTCCCATCCTCTAACGCAAACACAGACAAAAAAATGCAATTCTTCATGAACGCTGTTTTTTCGTTATAAAGAAGCGAACGTGCTTTTTAGCTCCTATTTTTATCGATAGATTATGTAACGAAGTTTATTCAAATTTATTTCTCCGTCGTATTATTGATTAAATAATAATGTAATAAATTCTAAATAATGAATAAAAATTGTAATTGTTTTCATATAAATTATCATAAATTATGCCGTACTGTAAGAAAAAATAAAAATAAAAAGTACATATACGAGTACATACGAACATAAATTACAAAAGTTATCAAAATAACCAAATAGCTAATTGTCCTTAATTAATTAACACACGACATGCGCAAAAGACAGAAAGAGACCCGTTCCGTCAATTTCAATTTTCAACCACAAGCGATTGAAATATTTAGATTTAGAACAAAGAAACTATAGAGTTGATTTAATGTTAATCTTATTTTTAAAATGAGTGTTTATTAAATTTTAGTAATAAATAAGTAACAAAATATTGTTGTATTCTTTTTACTGTTTGGAGTTATCAATCATAATTCCGAAAATACATTTGCCCGAAATAATGTTTGCTCGAATTTTTGTAAATCCAAATGTATTTTTTTAGATTATTTTAGGAATATTACAAAACAAACTAACCTTTCTTTGTAATAAGCAACCAAAATCCCCTGTAAGCATAACGGTTTTGTTATAAATTGGTTTTCGAGATTATGAAACTTTGAGTTTACGTTTAATTGGAATCTAGAAATTCGAAACATCGACACATTTCTTACAGCACGTCATAACTACCAACAGAGAGAAACTGTTGGTAAACCTTTTTGCTGACACACCTTCTATGTATGTCTGTAATTATTTCTTAGAAGATGGAAAAAAATAAAAGATTATTTCGAATTTTGATTTAGGCTTTTTGAAGTGTTCCTTGTCAAGACGACTTAAGAAAATATACATTGTTTTCTTCTTTTTTTTTTCCATCCTCTAATGTTTTTCTTCATCACGTCAACTTGTGTTGTTTTTATATTTGTCGAGATTTCCTGGGTTAGAAGACTTCTGTCTTTACATTGGTTATGGGCTTGTTATGGGTAATGTTCTGACAATAGTTCGACAAGTTTAGTTTACGTGTGTTTTATTAGGACTTTAGTTTTGTGTGATATTATAAATTTTAATTTTTTCGGAAAATACAATTTTACGAAAATGACGCAAAACATTTCTTCTTCGAATAACATTGTTATTAGCAGCGGCAGCGGTTCAAGCATGGCTATAGAAAAACTGGAAGGTGTTTCTAATTATGGTACGTGGAAATTTCAAATGAAATTATTATTGATAAACCATGGATTATGGAATTTAGCAATTGGTTTCGAAGAAGCGACTGCTGGTTCTTCAATAGATCAGAAAGCATACGCAAAAATTTGCTTAAGTCGGAGACTTCTCTTAAAACGCGAACTTTCGCAAATTAAATACGAAAACTACAATTCTATGGATCACTATTTAGGAAACATTATTTCCATTACTCAAGAACTAGCTGACAATGGCTGCAACGTCGATGACGAAGAATTAGCCGAATTGATGCTAATTGGGTTACCTGCTGAATTCCATTCTTTAATAATGACCATGGAAGCCACTAAATTGAAACTAGATTCAGATTTGTTAAGTGCCAGCTAATTCAAACTGAATTCAAGAGAAATTCTTCAAATTCAAATTTGGAACACAATGAGAAAATTTTGTTGACGGAGAACAAATTTGTTCCAATCTGTCACAAGTCATCAGAAAGGTCACATTATACCGACGGGTCCCAAGCTGAAAAAGAAAAACTCGAAGAAACCTGAAGCTTCGCCTTCAAATACAGGAAGTACCAATTCATGTAGTTTTTCTACTGAGACTGCCTTAAGAGTTAGTAACTGGGACCAACATAGTGGATTATAGATTTAGGTTGTTCTAGTCATATGACTCATAGGAAAGACTCATATTTAATTATTCTCCTAAACCTCCTAAAGAAATTACTACTGCCAACAATGATAAAATGTTTAGTGTAGGTGACGGTGACGTCAATTTGACTTTAGATAATAATGTTATGAAAATTATTAAAGACACCTTATATGTTCCAAATGTAGCAGCTAATCTTTTGTCTGTTAGCAAAGTCGCAGCTAAAGGCTATATATTAATATTTGATACTTTCAGGAAGGACAATGTATGCGTGATCGGTTCCTGTGATTTGACAGCTTCTAATGTGGACGGTATTTATAAAATTGATAATAAACGGGGATGTTATTCGGCATTTGCGAATGACCAAGAGCCTAGTATAAGCACTGAAGGTAAAGTTTTTATGTCCAAATCTAATTCTTTGGAACTAAGGCATCGTCGCCTTGGACATTTAAGTTTAAGAGGTATGTTAACTCTTCGTGATCATTTAACTCGCCTTATAATCCTAATCGCCTTATAAGACTGATCGAAAGTCATATTCAGGGCTTCTGAGTAGGTTCGGCTTTTGCATTGTAAATTGGTACAGTCACAACAAAACGTGGCTTATTCTAGCACCGAAGCTGAATACTATGCTCTTGGAAGTTCTGTAAAAGAGGCATCATTTCATTCAAGATTGTGTTGATGATAAAATAGTCTGTATAGAGTACAAGCCTTCAACAGAGTTAGAGGTAGACCTGTTTACAAAAGCCTTGCCTAAGGCAAAACATGAGTTGTTTGTAAAATCTTTGGGTTTAGTTTAGGTTACCGAACTATTATTGTAATTTGTACTTTAGCACCATGTTTCTATTACATAATTTTATTATGATTGCTCGTGTAAGGGGCAGTGTTAGTAAACCTTTTTGCTGACACACCTATGTATGCCTATGATTATTTCGAATTTTGATTTAAGCTTTTTGAAGTGTTCCTTGTCACGACGACTTAAGAAAATATACATTGTTTTTCGTCATCACGGCAACTTGAGTTGTTTTTATTTTTGTCGAGACTTCCTGGGTTAGAAGATTTCTGTCTTTACAGAAACAGCTATTTACGCATTTATAATATTGTATGTATGTATCTGCACAACTCTTATTACTTGAAGTGAATTCGACTAAATTCAACATAATACTATAAAATTAATTAATATTGACCATAAGACTACTCCATCACTCTTGTGTTCAAGTAGTTTTCACTAGAAGCTAAATATGGTGCATTTATTTATTTCCAGTAAAAGCTGAATATGGATAGTTTTTGGGCCTATAAATTGTAACAAACAAACGAACGCTTTTTAATATGACGATTAAGAAGTCATTTAGAAAAACATTTAAACGCATAGACTTTGTTTAAAAAAAGCTTGCAACGTTATGTTGTATTGATTTGTTTAGGAAACATAGATGGCGCTACATGAAACTTAGGCACGTTGTAAAAAATGAAATTGTTGAGTACCAATATAGATTGTATGATCTATGACCTATAGAACTGACCAGGGATCAACGCTTACGCTTAAAATGAAAAGCGTGCTTAAGCGGTTACGCGCTTATTTTAGAAAGCAGACCTTTTTATGTGCTTTTCGTTTAAACGCCCACCTCTATTTAAAAGAAATGGCCCTTATTTCGACTCTATTTCTGGTTATACTCGATGGTTCTGTGGTTCAAAAAAAAAAAATCTGTCTATGTGATTGATGGGCGCATGTGTTTCGCGCACAGATAATCTAGGGATATTTTCTTTGAGAAATAACTAGTTTTTTTGGGTATATTTAGTGTTATTTTACTATTTCAAAACCATAGAAATGCAACAATAACGTGATTCTCAGAACTCTATACTTCTACAAGAATAGACACTGACAAGATTGTGCCTTTGGAATCTGTGTGATCGAAAATGAATAAGAAATTATCTGTGAGTGAGTTGCTTGCCGCGTACAAGCGCTGGGTGATTAGCAATCCGAACTTAGTAACCGATATTGAAGTTGTAGCGACGTGTTCTTCTTACTTCGTAGCCGGGAAGATCAACAAGTCTCCTATCGTTTCCGAGCTGGTTTATTCCGTATCAAAGCTCTTGTCGATGTTCAATGACCGTCTGATTCGAGAAGCTTACGACAATGAAATACCGTACTACGGGCTCCGTGAGCAAATAAAGCTGTGCCTGACCATCATTCACTACAGTGAAGTGTTTGTGGAGCTGGTTGTAAAGCGGCAATGGGGCAGTCGTGGAAAATGGACCATCGCTACACTATTGCAGCTTTTTAAGTGCTCTTCAGCACTAATCTTGCTGTACAGATATAAAGAGGTACCCATAGCGCATCCACCAATAGCAGCATTGCAAAGGAGGAAATTTACAGAGGGTAAAGATACTGACGATAATTCGAATGCCTTTTTTACTCTACGAAGGTCGGGACGTGTAATGCGTCGGGTAGATGGCGCGCCACCAGTCGCTTTGCGGGACTGGCAGCCTGTAAGAGTCAAGGATGAATTTTCACCTCATGTCGTAGTTAAAGACCTTCTGTATGCTGAGACAATTCATATACTGAAACCTCTTGCACACTTGGTGGCAATGAGAGTGTTTGGTACAAAGGCTTGGAAGCAATGGCTTGTTGCATTAGGTCTTGATGTGGCCAGCTTAAAACTGTTCAACCGCCATATGAAGAAACTGTCATATGAACAAAGGCTGGAGATCAGTCGGAGGAAACTCGGCCTTGTATTGTACTTGTTGAGGAGTCCAATGTATAATGGTTATTCTAAAAATGTTATTGAAAGCACATTAAATTCAACAGTAAAGAAATTACCCATGATGTCATTCCTATGCAACCCGATTATTCACTATTTAAGTCATTTTCAGGACATCTACTTTTATATGTGGGCATCATAAATTTTGCAAGTTTCTAGTCTAGTGCAGGCTAACGCTTATGCGTTAAGGAATTTTTTTGTTTCTTTTAATGAATTATATTGGTGTCTGGTATAATATTAAGTAAATGTTTTTATTATTTTTATGAAAATTTTTTTTAAACATTTTATTTAAATCTGTAAATTGATTTTCCATTTATAAGAAGTTAACTGTAGAATGCTCAGATTAATTGATAAAACAATATTAATAGTTAACATTTGTACTCCTATTATTCTCAACATTCCAATATTCTATAGTAGAAAACATACTCATAAGCAATATGTATACTAAGCCAAACTCCGCAATTGCGAACTATGTATTTCTATGGATTTGTATAATTGTCACAATTTTTCCAGATAGTGTGTACTTTCTTTAGTCCAATTAATGTTACAAGTATATTCGTGGTGTGATCCAACAATCACCCTAACGGCAGCTAAGAGTCTCTGAAGGTGAATCATGCATTTTCATTGCCACAATACTACTTTATATATAGTCTTTCAAACAGCAAGTCTATGTCACTGATGCCCTTCACGTGCTACATGCAATGTTAACTTTCACATATACTTGTGGGACGATGTAGCAAAGCTGTTGCGAATTTTTCAACACAATTATGTAATGCCAATATTATTACTTACTATATTTAAGAAAAGTGATTCATTAAATTTACATGTAGCGAGGTTTTATGGGATTATTGTATTTTTAAAACATGATTTACAGTATTTGGTATTGATAAAAAACATTCAAATAACAACATTGTACCATATTAATTATAGAATTAAATATATCTTACCAAGTACTGTATTTTCATGTCAATAATAATAATATGGGTTGTCTTTCAGTCTTCAACCATGTTCTAAAACAAATATATCAGTTGTAAAACTTATTTTGTATATAAATGAGTGTAATAGCATTTGATCAATAAATTATTACATAATATACATATTGTATTTACTTTATCTACCTGTATACAGCAATCGACATTCTTATCTAATGCGAGAAATACATGTATACTGTCCAGACGATTTGAGCAAGACTGACTGCGAATATAGTCCTGACAATTTGAGAATGCAGAGGACATTTTTAAATACAGGTAATGGTAGCCTAGTGCAACTGACAGATGACCAATAACTGCCTGTGTGGTGGAATGGTTACCATACTGGTCTGTCATACAGAGGTCCCAGTCTGGGATAAATATGTGTACTGTATGTAATTTGTGATTGTCTATGTGTGTGTTACAGGGTTTCCCGCATGTGTGGTGGAACGGTTACCATACTGGTCTGCCATACAGAGGTCCCAGTCTGGGATAAATATATGTACTGTATGTAATTTGTGATTGTCTATGTGTGTGTTACAGGGTTTCCCTAATGCGGGGCTATGAGTGTACCCGTTGTTTATAGCGAGTGGCTATGAGTATTAAAATATTATAATCAAATATACATAAAATGCTACAATGAAGTTACTTTTTTACACCTATATCCACACTCGACATGGATAACTTACACAAACTACACACATCAAAAGTGTCTAGGGATCAAGTACGTTTAAGAGTATTGCTGTAATTAGGGTTAATTATATTAACTTTTTTGTATCGCTGTTGATACTTTTTAGTGAGTTTTAACATTTAAATAAGGAATATTGTTTAAAATTCGATAATAAGAAGAAAATCGATTGTCAATGTGGTTTTGAATAAAAATGAGTTATAGCGTTTTGACAAAATCATTACAATATCTGCATCGGAACCGAAACAATTTACATTATTATGGAGAGCCGTCGGAATGTTGGAAGCTGGTTCCAGGCAACGTGCTGTGGCTTTCACTCTTAACACTACACAGAGCGTCATAAGTCGCCTCTGGACGCGCTATCGCATGACGGGCAGCGTGGCCGAGCGACATGGAGGACGATCTCGCATCACGACTCGCAGACAGGACCGGTATATCCAAAATACTGCTCGACGGAATCGTACCATGACCGCCATGATGTTGGTTACGAGGCTCCACAGCTCCTCAGGCTTGCTAATAAGCGATCAAACAATCCGAAATCGTTTACGTAAAGTGGGTCTGCGATCCCGAAGGCCGCTCAGAGTTCCACCTATTGCACCCTGCAATCGCAGGACCCGTTTACGATGGGCTCGCGAACACAGGAACTGGGAGGAAGAAGACTGGCGCTATGTGTGCTTTTCGGATGAATCCCGCTTCGGTATGAGACCGGATACAAGACGTACTCGAGTTTGGAGAACATCTGGACGTCATGAACGTTTGAGATATTGTCAGGAAGTTCATCCATATGGTGGGGGAACAATAATGATATGGGCCGGTATTTGGATCGGCGGAAGAACCGATCTCATTTGGATCAGGGGTAACCTCAATGCTCAAGTTTACGCAGAGAGGATTGTTTCAGATGTTATCATTCCTTTGCGAGGCCAGTTGGGTGATTCATTTCAACTAATGCATGACAACGCACGTCCACACACGGCTAGAGTCGTAACACGCATTCTTGCCGAAGCTCGTATCAACGTTCTGCCGTGGCCTGCTCAATCGCCAGACCTCAATCCAATTGAGCACGCATGGGATATGCTTCAAAGAAGAGCTGTGCCGAGTATGCATACCGTACATACTCTACAACAATATTTTGACTTGTTACAAAACACATGGGCGGCCATTCCTCAAAGTGATTTTGATGAACTCATCTTAAGCATGCCAAATCGCTGTAATTGTGTGATTCGTGTTAATGGTGGAAATACAGATTATTAATTTTCTTATCTTTACAATAAAAATGAGCAAAATCATCATTTTCGCCATTTTTTTGTCATTTAATTGACGCCGTTAATTTGAGTTTTTTCCCACAATTTGCAAAAACATCAATTTTAGTTTATTTTAATTAAATATAGGGGTAAGCGGTTAAATAAAACATAAGCATTAAAGTAAGAAGTCGTACTGGAAGACTGGATTTGGTAAATATTGCTTAAATAATTTTTATTTCAAAAATATTCACTTGATCCCTAGACACTTTTGATGTGTGTATATTGGTTAGATACTCCCTCACACAACGTAAATACACATGTATTACAAAATATTTGAAGGATTCTTTAGTTATGTCACTCTGTTGGTGGTGCTTATTGTACTGTTATGCTACTCAAATGAAATTAATTAAATGGGTAATTTATGGACATTTACATTAGCGACGCGAATCAAAACACTACGTTATGCCTTTCCACTTATTTGGTCTGTATGTACTACTATTTCTATTGTCCACTTGTTTGTATGAATAGCTGTAAGCTTAGAATAATAACACATAGAATGATAGTTTCATATCAATGAACTGTCACATGTGAGGCAAAAATCAAATTCATGTAGGCTAGTTTTAGTAGTAGGTTAATTTTCGAATTTAGTGAATATTTATATAAAAATACAAGTTGAAACGCGTTACTTCCTTGTGGAATGGGATGTTAGTATCTATTTTATGTTTGTCTGACGTATTTTTACACTCATTTACCTCGCATTTCGTCATTTTTAGCTAAAATTCTTGAGCTGTTCGCGGTGCAGGTTGACCTTGAGCATTGACGGCCCGCCCGCTCGTGTAGGCCCTTTGAGAGCGCTTCAATTTGCCTCACTTAGCGTGTGCGGACTAGGTTTCTATGCGTTATTATTCTAAGGCTGTAAGACTATCTGCGAGTAACTAGTGCTATTGACAAGTTGATATCAACGAGACAGATTTACGTGTGTGTGGATTGAGTGAGCACACTCTGGAAGAAGTTTAGAATACCTATATTAGTCATTTAGAAGAATCTTTCATAAACTGCTTCCGTGGCCGAATGGTTACGAGAAATATTTCTGTGGCCTACATTTATTTCTCTGGTGAGTTTGGGTGCAATTGTGGTTGTCTGTTTGTCCAAGGCACCCGCGATATAGGGTTTCTCTAGTGCGGTGCTATTAAAAAGAACGGAGATATTATTTGGCCATTTATAGTTGCTTCGAGCACTTATCAAGTGATAGTCAGTACCTGGAGTGGAACCCTATTCAATAAGTATAAAATGAAAGTTGCGCAAGACATTCACTATTATTTATTTAAATATTACATAATTCAAATCATGATACACTTTGAAAAAGTTCACAAAAATAGACTCCTCAACAAGATTTCACATTCTTTGTGAAAATGTATGAATAGAAAACATAATTGGGCAGTTCTCATGAAATTTCGAAATTCGTGCTTTCGATATTTATGAAAATTTTTAGGAAGAATTTGTATTTATCTATTGCCAATTTCAAAGTAAATACTACTTAGGTAAATAGTTTTTGATGATATAATGGTCCCCAAAATCAATGACTTTAAGGAAATGTATAGAGCAGTCAGATCATTTGACTGACTGTCCTATACATTTGTAAGGACTTGAATTTGATTTCTATGGTCGTATTCCAGACTATACTCAATGTTCAAGTCAGGACTTGAGTATGATTTCAAGCACTTGAAATACGACCCTAATGGCAAGGACTTGAGTATGATTTCTAGTGCTTTAAATCATACTCAAATCCTGACTTGAGCAATGAGTAGAGTTCTGGAATACGACCCCTAGTGCTTGAAATCATACTCGAGTCCTGACTTGAGCATTGAGTAGATCTGGAATACGACTCTCAGACTTTATTTTGAATAAGCTTACTGTTACCAATAACTCGTCTGAGTGAATAATTAATAATAAAATCAAATGCTTAATGTGATGTGAGAGAATGACTGTAAAAAATTTAACTGTCAGAATTTTAAATTAAAACTTTTCATATTAGGAACTTTTTACACACACAACTTGAATTTCGTCATTTACAGTGCTGCTAACTTCCAAAATCTTACAAAATGAATTTACCAAAGATTAAAAAATGCGTTCCCAAATCGATGGAAGGTAAAAGTATGATGGAATGATTTTTTGGTAGGGACATGAATAATAATACATTTTTTAAATTTATTTATCATGTTCACACGCTTTAATTTTGTAAAAACATATTTTATCTGATCGAATGTTTAAAATTTAAAGGTTACTTTTGTCAAATGTATTGATTTAAAGCATAGAACGTGTTGATTATGAAATTCGGAACATAGTGAGGGAATGATTTTGGGGACATCTTTATATTATAATTTTTTTATTTAAATAGACTAATCAATATTTTATGTAAGCATTAGTAGCAATTTAATTATATTTTGATATTAAATATTAATTTATTGGCAAAAATTAAACACTTCTTTTTAAAAACCTATAGGACAAGAATTCCGATATTTTATAAGAATTATCCAATTAGATTTATCATATATAATATTAATAGATCCAACATATAAAAAAATAATGATTAAAACCTATAAACATAAATTCAGATACGTATACTAAAATTATACAGCTTTTTAAAACTCTAAAATAACATTTTGTACATAAACTACCTATAATTAAATCTTAATAGCATAAAAATTTACTACAAATAACTAAATTGTTTCAAGTCCTCACCATAAGAGTGCAAAAGCTTAGAGCCGTTTAACTGAATTTCCAGAACTTTCAAATCGATGCCTTAGGTACTTTCTCAAACTCGTATCTTCTAAAGAGTGATTGATTATGCAGGAGATGGCAAAACTTTCTATATAAATGTATATAAGTCATTTCTTATCAAGGGTGTTAATTTGGATGCATTACTTTAAGAATAGGTAAAAGACAGTGTGTAAATATGAAGGAAATGGGATGTGAAATCAGCCTGCAACATTTGTACATACAATCCATTTTTTGCATTTGAGTAACTTTGTTCTTTAAGATACGAGTTTGAGAAATTAAGACGATGAAAATGGTGTATGCAATAAAATTTTACATTTTTCTATAATAGGCGTTTGATTTTTTGTATAAGAAATCTTCTTTCTCTCGCAATGAAATACATTATTTATCAAGGTCAATGCTTTGAATAATCAAATGTATTTTCAAGATATAATTAATTTGAACTGATAGAGAAAACATAGCATTCATTTTAGCGCCGAAAATATAAAAGTGCAAAAAATTCGTCTGCCACCTTTATTGTGGCTCAGCTAAAACAAAATTTCGTGCGTTGAGTCACTGAAAAAAGAAAACAAAAATAAATATTACAGTAGAGCTTGGAGAATATGATACAAAAATATAAGAATGCCTTCATGCAATTTTTGTACACTTTTTTTTTACTTTAATGTACGAAGTTGAATAAAGAAGTAAACCCTAGAAAGCAGATATAAAGAGTATACTTATCGGTGAGAGAGACTGCAGTGTCTTGTCTGCAGTTTGCAGAGCCTTGGAGGGTGCAATGATCTTAATTAGGTTGCCATTTCGCTTGTTTAAAGCGTTTTTAGTGTAAGCTGATGGGGAAGTTAGCTTTGTAGCAAATTGTAGGTTTTTGTTTTCATCGAAAAGAAATGCTCAAGGTTATTCAGCCTAGACCACAGACCACATAAATGCCTAGACTGTTTACTATTAGTTTTAAATTTACTATGGTATGCGTTGTGTAAACGATGGCATGGTCGAAAACTGAACAAACATTGTATGAAGGCAGAACATGAAATAAGAACCTCGAAACAAAATCTAATCCAGTATCTCAACAAAGATTTTAAAATCCAAAATAAATGCTTGATCGCCTGAAGTAAGTACAGACTACCGTACAATCTAATATATTGATATATTAATTATTTCAAAATTTTTCATTCGAAATGAGTTCAAAGTGAGAACAGAATGTTTTTTTATTTCATAAACTGTCACGAACGAATACTTTGATCAAAGCGCTTCAGTAATGCGCTTGTACAAAATTGCAAACGCGTACCATTCGCATTTTGTGCCGATCGATGTTGGTGAATGTCTTGAATGATGTTAATAATTCAAAATTTCCTCTCAAATACCTACATCTAAAATACCTATAAAGGTTAATTATACTTTGTGTATGTAATTGACTACTATATAATTCCAAAGTTTTTAAATAGCATTGATCAAATGCGTAGAGGGAGAATTGGGTAGAGGGGCTCTATAAATAATAAAAACCGTATAAGCGTACGGAATGAAAAATTCCCAATATAACCCCTTTCACACTTAAGTTTTAATTTTTCTTATTATTATTATTATTTTCTTGATTGAAAGGTTTTTGTTTGCATCATATAAACCTCCTAAAAGAAGGAGAATATCTTAGTTTTGTCAAATATGTCCATCTTGCTTCTACCAGCAGTGGTTATGATACGCGAGAAAGAGAGCTCAAATAAATAACGTATAAATTAAATTGGACAGGATTAGCTGATTTTAGGGATACCGTGTTTTTGCCACTATCTTTTCCCTAATTTATGGGTCATTTTAAATATTGTATTTTTCAATACTTTTTCAGTTCGAAATATGTATACTAAGTTAATACTGTTCAAGGGCCAATAAAAAAGTAATGATTTATCATAATTGTTTTATTTGGTTACTAAAACTCAACCAAGCTAAATGTGGTCTGGCGGATTCTCCCTCCTTAGGCTCGGCAGATTTCATCATTATCATGAACCCATTTATACGTCCCACTGCCGGGCACGGGTCTCCTTTCAGGCGAGTGCTTAGGCGACAGTCCACCACACTGGCCCAATGAGGGTTGGGGACTGCACACGTTTTCCGAGGACTTTGAACCTTCTTCAACGTTTCATCACGATATTTTCCTTCACCGAAAAGCTCATGATAAATTTCAAATTAAAATTCCCACAAATTTCGAGAAACTCAGAGATGCGAGTCTGGATTCGAACCCACCAAACCATTAGGCTACCACGGCTTCAGTTTCATTTCAATTTCTTTAACGGGGTAAAATTTTAAAAGTAGACAACCCGGAATTTATAGGTACTCTGTTGGTATCCCTTTTCAGTATACGCAAGAAGCTTCTCTATTCTTTTTTTTATTCTCCCTCTTCGATCAAATGCGTCTCTACCATGAGGTTACAGTGCCGGCTGTCCTTCTTTTCGTTTAAGAAGGTTTCAGATAATTTAAGGGCTTTTGCAGACTCTGCTATTTAAGGAGTATTGTAGGAGCACCACGTGAGCAAAAATAAACGTCCTAAAAATATTTTTCATTTAGCAACCGCGTTATAATATTTGATAATATTGTCTGCCCCTAAAAGTACAGCGCCCTTATTTGTCACAAGAAGTGACATCTTGTATACGATTCACGTAGTCGCTAGCGACAACTGTCACTGTAGGTTTATGGTACATACTAAACGTAAAACAATTTAGTAAAATAATATTTTTAGTCATAATTAAATAAATTGGGTACAACATATTATACTGTATTTCTTGAATTCATATTCCCAATGAAAAATCTCATAGACGCATTTAACGTAATTGAATCGATTACCTAAACTGTATTCCGACTGCACCACTACTAACAGACAATTTGAATGCAGCTTAAGTGACTAAGAACTAACATAGCATGGATTTTCTGCGACAGGGTACATCAACATTACATAACTTAGTGAATCACAGTCATACAAATGAATTATTTAAATATTATCCAGGAAAATTTAAACGTTAGTAATACGTGGTAGAATACTATATTTTAAAATACAAGCTACCTGTTGCTACTTTCATCCTTCCAAACACCCATGTAAATTGACATACCATTCATTGCATAGAATTATGTTGTGAAGCGATATAGGACACAATAAGCAGACATATTGTATTTAAATGTTAAATGCGCCTTAAATACGACATCTTATACAATATAACTTACATTGATATATTTTTGATTTATCTATATTTAAAATTGATTGGAATGAAGCTGTCGATAAAATTACACGGATTAATTAAAAAATATATAATCCTGTTACATTTTTGTTTCTATAACATATGAAATAATCACCAAAGTAAAAATGTTTCCCCCATAATATATTATCTTAAATAATATTTACTATAATCCAACAGATCTAATTCACAGAGACCTGAAAGCAGCGTTGAAAATAATATAACGTTAAAATATTTTTAGTCGAATATATCCTATACTTATTTATAAAGATTTTCATCTTTCTAAGTAATGGACAGTGTCATTTGATATAATATAATACTATAAAAATATAGAGTGGGTCGTCGATACGAAGGGCATAAGATTAAAAATGCCTAAAACTGAACTACTGACAGTTTTACTGCCATTATAACCATGAACTTAATCCATTTTATTTAATGCATGTTTACTTAAATTCTCCATAGACAGGCATACAAATATTTTATTGGCACAAACTCAACTTCAACTCGTATGTTTGGTCTTCGATGCATCGGTGCGAGAACAGCAAATACTTGCGCAATTTATTTTTCTGCTTTATTAATATTACGTACTCTGTAAGGTTTCACATCTACAATGAAGTATTTTTCCCTGATTTTATAATTTTACATCTAACATAAATTGATTGATTGTTATTTTATTGTACATACATTTAATTAACTAAACCCATTTACTTCAAGAATATAGTTGCACCATAAATATACTTACAATTTTAGTAAATATTTATGATAAATATTTTACTAGAGAAGCCAGTAACACTGGCGTAATAATCATGTTGTTAGAGTATTAAAACAAATTTCTGTTTGTATAGGCGTTTGGTAATTCACATCATATGAATTACACTATATAATCATTATTTTATACATAGATAGCCAATCACATGCGAGTCCTAATTCGTGGGCAGCCAATCACTTGCGAGTCCTAACTCGTGGACAGCCAACGAAATGGAGGCCACGTAATGTAATGTGCTTACACCGTTCGTATCGTCGCATTCTCCCACGCATCGGAAGAGTAGTATTGATTTTAACAGACGTCTGAAGGCACACGTCATATATCCTAAAACATCTCTACAACTGACAGTCACTCTTCAAAAATAGTCTAGTAATAAAAAAGGTCATTTTCACACTAGAAGCTCATAATATATTTTAACTTCATGTGTAAACGTAACGACCAATTTAAATCACCAATGTTTTTTTCTTTAAATAAGTTTTGCTAGACACATAATAAATATTTAATATCTTAAAATTTCATGCATGCCGTATTGACCGGTGAATTTATACAAATTATAATACATATTAATTAAACATATTAATTTTACTAAAACACGTGACGATGATTATTTCGCAACTGGCCCAACAGCAATTGTTTCTAAGTGGAAGTTACGTGACATTCCTTATTTTTTAGCAAATGCAATTTAGGCAAATGCGTGAATGGTTTATAAATTTCGTTAATCAGAATTTAGAAAATCTTTAAAATCTCGTTGCTTCGTTTTCAAAAGAATGTATTGTCCAACCTGTCGAGTTAAATTTAGCTTTAGCACTAATTGTAAGTCAATGTTTAGCACAACAGAATTTGAGTCAAATATGATTTACACACAATAATACTGGAATAATAGTTTTTTAAGGTACCTGCCACAACAACCGCCCAGAGAGCAAAATCCAGGCATAGCTGTGAAACCTGTCAAAAATATTTAATCTGACAAATCGTAAACAACAGGTTGTTTAATTGACGACGTGAGCTGAGGTGGAGGTGAAATACGCACTTATAATTTATAAAAGGTCAGGATTGCAGAGGTTGTGAGCGTTTTATCTAAATATTTTTTAAAGTGTTCATGAAGTCGCTTTAATTTAGTTATCTTTTATCAGTCATATAAGGAAATTAATTCCAAACTGTACCTACTTAGCGGACACCCGTGACGTCGTGCCCTAACTAGACAAGATTTGCGTTTAAGGAGCTCGAATCAATTGCCATTTGACCAAGTTGATATCGATACCGGGCTAGCCCTCAAAAAGTTAGCGCAGACTAAATTGAAAAATCGTCGCATAGACTCGAGCATGTTATTGACCGGTATACACATAGAGATCACAAACGCGCGTTGAGATATTATGGTTAACAATAACTGACACTTTGTAAGCGAATGTACGGTGGCACTGTCGCCAGCAGCCGCGTTCGGCAGACGACCGTAAATGCGCCATTTCACAGTAAAAAATGTGCGACCATCTTGAAACCATATGACTGACATTTCACTTTGTTACATCCCGAAGTGTTATGACATCTTCCATACACATAAAGCTCGTGCTTCGTTAGGCATCGTCTAATGGTCCTTTTTAGGCGCTCTATACAATGCCTGTGTTATGATGTTTCTCTATTTTTCACGCACGCCAAAGAATAGAAAAAGAAGCAGGATAATTGTAGCCTTTAATTAAATGTCATGCCACATTGGTGGTTGTCTTCAAGAAACGTGGGCTACGAGATTGACGCGTTCGACATTGGAAGGCCACGTCAACATAATATTGTTACCATATGTTTGAACAAAACCTACTTCGCATGTCGCGCATAAATTAGATTTTGAACTAATTAATAACTCACTACTGATTACAAATCAATGAATTAAGACATCATGAATGTCTTAATTCATTGATTCGTTTTGTAAATTGATTGACTCCGAAAGTCAATTCATCAGTATTTTTTATGCTTAGGTCCGATATCGAATTTAGCCAGTTTGAGAGACTGCAAAAATAAAGTTTTTGTCTCCGAAACGGTCGAACCGGCTTTTATTAAATTTTAGAACAGCTAGTAGGCATGAAAGGAACGTTGCCAATTTTAATTGCGTTCTTAAGTTTAATCGATTGACAAGAAATTTTTTTTAAATACATTTCGGAACATTGTTTTAGATTTAGGGTTAAAGGGTTATAATCCTCGAGACGATCCTTCATAAGGAAACTTCGAAGATGCAACAAAAAGTAGAAATCGGTGTAATATAGAAACAAAAGAGTATGTAATATTAACGTTGCGTTCAATGCGCAGGTGATCACGACACGTGCGCAGCGCATTTGCGGCTCTTATATGGAATTGCGCCTACGCTGATTGGCCGACTTTGTGGTGGGCGCCGGCATGTCCAGCTTCCCCCATCGGCCCCTGCAAGCATTACTTCGTATCACTTATTACCTATTGCAGTTATCGAATTTGCTATTAGTGTGAATTCGCCTGTAAAGAATTAAACCTTAAGATCCATTTTATATTACATGCAGTCTTTCGAAAGCAGTAAGTAATAGAAATGTGAACATTGATTTTTGTCAAGCAGTACCTTTAAATCCCCGACATAAGGTATCACAGATTTAAAAAAATTGTTTTATGCAAACAAATAAGTAATTGGGGGGGGGGGGGGGGGAGACATGTACTGCAACTGCAGTTATACGCTGATGATGACTAAATGTGGCGATCTTACCATGCGTAAATTAGGCGCTAGTTATTGAGCCACTCCCAGGACTCATCATCTTTCTTGTTCTTCTTGATGGTGATGCTCTTGATGTCCGGAGGGGGGCTGGAGACGCCCACTTGGGAGAGGTCGCGGTCGTCAAAGTTGCGCGTCGCAATGGACTCCTTCCACGGCTGTGCTTGCTCGTTCCTAACAAGCATACGTGTGTATGTATGTTGAGTATATTTTTATAACATCACGGCTGGAGCGCCGCAAGGGTTCTTCACTACATTCATTAACAACGTCGGAGTACTTAAGAAGAATTAGGGGTGTTACCACCAACACCAACCGATCGATGTCGAATGATGATATCGATGGACGTTGATCGGTCGGTTTGGTAACATTAGCTTATCGACGAATATCGATAGATCAAACGATCATTCGACTGTCGATCGATGATCGGATTATGGATTTAGGCTCACTTCACACAGTCGCGGACCGGAATGGAAGCGAAATTGTATATAGTGTAAAGAACTTTATGTTAGATGCGACATGGTGGCTGTGTAGGTGAAGATAGGAGAAGTTCGAAGCCGGGTACACGAAGAAGCAGGTGTGTAAGGGTGCAGAGCCGGAGCGCAGCGGATTCGGCGCGGAGGCGATAAGTGGAGAGGCTGCACCGACAGCGGCGGTAGTGCTGCAGTGGATGTTATCACTTTATACTCGGAGGTGGAGTTCTACTTCGTCTTGAGCGTCGGCTTCAGCCTCACTCAGCTGTGAGGTACGCAGTCCAGTTAGGAGGAGCGTACACGTGAAGACCAAGTTTAGCGTGAGGCAGTCGAGGAACTGGTCATCAGGTAGGCGCGTAAGCGCGTTAGAAGTAAGGCCAGATGTAGTGCTTCGAAAAGGTGAGACTTCTTGTATTTACTAGGTCTGGTAAAGACCAGATGCCTCCACGGTCAGTACAAGAATGACGAGCGTTTGGTAGAGCGAGAGAGAGCATCGAAATCGAAATTTGAAATGAAGAGCCAAAATGAGAACAGACAGGAGCGGAAACGCTTCTACAGCTAACATTGCATATCAAAGGAAGAATAATTTATAGGACAATCTCTTGAACAATAGATTGTAGAGGGGTAACATGTCTGTCAATCAATGTCAACATATAAAAATATTAAATACGAAATAAAAATGTTTATAAAGTGAAATTGATGATTGAGCAGATTGATTTGGTATTGTAATCTAGCTAGTATAGATTATCTAGTATCTATGGTTTACCACACAATCTATAGTCGGTCGATACTAGATAGCTAGTATCGACCGACTATAGATTGTGTGGTAAAGCCACTAAATAAACTTCATTAGCTATTGACAATCTAAACTTATGTGGTAATTGTTATCTTGTAATCATTAAAATCAAAATAAAGCTTTCTTTTATAATATCAAGTGACGGGACTGTCCATAACAGTTGCAGTGCCACGCAGACAACCGAACCGAATACGTACAAACATCGAATGGTATGTGCTTCAAAAACTACTTTAACGTTACGGAAAAATTTAGCTAAATTAACGTACCATTGAGAGTAAGGCTCAGAGGTGGAGTTCTTCATGGCACCATAGCTCTGACCCTGGTAGGGGCCGCTGCTGGTGTTGCTAGAGCGTCGCTGTTCATTACTGCCGCCCAGCGAGCTCCACCCGCCGCGGTTATTCACCTGCAAGCATCATCCATTAAGCCGCTTAGAATAAGTTTCGCATATTCAATTATAAAATTTTGCTATAATTTTTTATTTAGTTTGATAGAATTATGTTTAACTTTTCATTCAAAATACGAGTACAATCTTACCCAAGTCAGTTAAATTGTCAATGAAATAATCTCAGTACAGAGTACTAAAAAAAACGACCTCAAAAGTACGTGGAATTACACCAATTTGCCAAGTGTTATTGAAATCGGTTACCGGAAAGTGCGCAAACCCGGATTCATCCCTTAGTTCGCCACTATACGGAACTTGGCACAGGAGATCGAAATTGGTTCTCACTACTCAAAGTATATTGAGAGAGAAAAACGCCTTGATTTGGAGAATATCAAAATCAACCATTAAAATAATTAATTAATTTTAAATTGTCTGATATGTCGAAACGAGGCGCAGACCGACCCCTCATACGTAAAGTATCGTATGTTGAAATTGCTAAGTTTACAGGGGAGCGTTTTAAAGTTCTGAATTCACTGAACGGAGTATAACACGTGACTTTAGCATTTCCCAGTTTTATTCGGCAAAGCTCACATACGAGTATTATAAAATCCTAGATATCGGATAGGTGATCTATTAGATGATCACTCCGCAATTTCGACGTACGATACTTTACGTAGGGGGGTCGACACATCTGTCACAATGATTTTATTTCGAAATTGTGCATGCTATTCAATCGTTCGCAAACATTTCGCAAAAATTGAAATTGTCACGTTCGCTACACATTGAGTGCAATCGATAAATAACAAACAGTAAACAGTAAAAGCAATTGCCTCTCTAAAATCAATATACTGCAACGTTACACCTGTATCAATTCAAATAGGCAAGCTTCTTCGAGGTCTATCTGAAGCGAATTTTTGTAATTAACTGAATACATAAGTATATAATTAGATTAAATTTTCAAGCTTTTATATAGGTAAAAGCCTTTACGTACGACACGCGAAAGAGTGAAAAATAAAGAATCGCGGTACTGTTACAGTTCAACGCAATTTTATTATAAATAAAGTTATCGATAGAGAACATGCTTCGACTATATCGTAACATAACGTGCTTATCTTTTAACCTTTGCTGTAGTCAGAAAAACGTATTAGTTCGGGCAACATATATTAAACGTGGAGAACTGAAGTCACCTAAAGTCAAAGAGATGAAAATATAGAGATTGTGCCGTAGAAGGGCATGAAAATCGGGGACATTTTATTTTTGTTAGGTCTGGCAATATTGCTTGTTAATGAATTTGAAATTTGGAATATTATCTATTTATGGTTTAAACAGGGTAATCAAAACATAATACCATGATACTTCCAACAGTAAGTTTCCAGTAGTAAGGTGGATGTGTTCTTAAAGGCTAATAAATTAATTAATTATAAAAAATTATACACACATACCCGGGTAATTATCAGAAAAATTTCAAATAATTAGTGGACATTTTGCCGGAAGAATTTCTGATAAATTGGAAATATTCGTTCCTTCGTTTAGAAAAATTTCAAATAATTAGTGGACATTTTTCCGGAAGAATTTCTGATAAATTGGAAATATTCGTTCCTTCGTTTAGAAATATCTTTTGAAATTTTATTTACCGCGAATTATAAAATAAAATTGTATAGCTAAAAGCAAGTTAGCGAAAAACGAGGTCTACAATGATTGGACAACAGCGAAAAAATCTTTTTATGGGTTCATAGTTTTCGTTCAATAACTTAAACTTTTAAAAGGTGTCAATGTCAAATGTGGAAAAATATTCGAAAAATATCCGGAAAAATAGAAAATTATTTTCTGAACAAAAATTTTTTTTTTTTTTTTTAAATTTAGACCCAACAACACTACTTACACACCAACGTCGACCTCCATCAAAAAAAGTATTTTAAATTTGACATATCAACGAGTCCTATCTTACAAAATTGTAACTACAGGAAATTCACTAAAGTTGTTGAATAGAAAAAAGAACAAACGATATCAACTAATAGATATTACAGCTACGAAAACTTTTAATGTTCTTTTAGTACATTATGTCCTACACAATTTGGGCATTGATATTTTCACAATAGAGTCATCCAATACAAAACCAAGATGAGACTAAAAAGTGATGTTGGTGTTGGTCACGGAAGAATCTGTGGTGTTGGTCTTGATATTGCATACAAAGACTTGGTCTCGGTCTTGCGGCAAGGATCTCGCAAGTCTTGCCATTACCTATTGCTACTACTTGGTACTTGGTACTTGGTGCAACGGGCTGGTGTCCGCAACTCGACGTCAAGGCGCCTATTGCTACTAATCAAAGTATCGTATTCCAGTATTATTCTTACAAAAAGTGACAATGAGGGTTGGTTCAGATTTTAGAAGAACGCAACAGAGCAAAGATAGACAAGTAGTTTTTTGAGTACGTAGGTATTTGAGTACAAGGGTATAGCGGAGTTAAATATAGCAAGTGACGAAAAATTCTTATTAAAGACAAAAAATGTAAAAATAAGATTAATAAATAATACTATTTAGCGTATTTTATGGGTACAAGGTGTAACCCGCTAGAAGAAGCGCGCCGTGGGCCGGCAGTGCTTGCTGGCTTGTTAGTTAGTTTTTCGATAATAGCTTTTCGCGTTTTATCAACCAACCAATTTTGTTGTTAATAGGTTCTGTGGCTTTAATACCAAACGTATATCCATATTGCCAATGTGCTTTGAAACTAAATTCAACGCCCACGTTGAGTTTGACATACTGTGACGTTCGATTAAGAGGGAGCATGCCAAAAAAGTTTTGACGTTGGCTCCGCCCAAATTTGTGAAACAAATATATGCCTGAATTTCGCGTGACATGCGACAGGAGATGTTGAATTTTGCGCATTAAAAGTACCAAATTCGTTTTAGCGGAATAACTCTAAAACTAAAGGGATTAAAAAAAAATCCGTAGTGACATTTCTCGATCATGCATAAATATAATTAATTATCTAATTTTTGTCCTAATAACCTGTAGCATTTCGAGGATGAATCGAAAAAATGTGAAAATTAGAGGTCATTTCGTGATTTTTATCTATCGAAGAAACTTTATTGTTTTATGTTTCTGATTAGAGTCGTCTATGCTTGAATATATCGTGTAGTTACTCATACAATATTTTATTTTTAACTTTAAAGTGGATATACCCCTCTAAAATCAAATCGAAGATTAGGAATTTTCTCTCTGCTCCCAAGAGATAGTACACACTTTTATTATCAGTTATGTTTTCGTGTCATCGTTTTATAACAATAACAGGTATAACAAAATAGATTCAAAAGTCACTCGTGACTATGGGACTTGCAAAGAGTTTGAAACGTTGGCTTTTATGAAAAAACCGATATATGCTCAGGCCACACCACACAGACCTGCGGCAAGCGAATGCGTACCGGGGCGTGCCACACGAGCGGCAGTCCCATGCGTAGTTGGCGGCCGGGAAAACGCGTGCAACGAGGCGAAGGAGGCCGGTGTGACATTTAAACGTACCAACGTTTCATTTTCTAGTTAAATTTAAAGAAAGCACCATATCACTGTCGGGTAGTGTTTAAAAAAATCTGCTTTTATAGTCGTCACGAAAGGAAAGCAAAAGATTTTTAGTTGAATTTATACTTAATGAAAACCATTCAAGATGTGTAAAAAAAAATACAACGTGCTAAGCCCACTCAAGGACCGCGGTTCAATGGAATACAGCTTTGCGCCCGTACCCGTTACACGTTTGCCTTGGACCCGGCCCGCGCCAGTTTGTCAGAGCGTTCAACACCAGCCTGCGCCGCCACGACACCCGGTTTCAATTGCCACATCGGGTGCATAAGAACTCGAATATAACAAAAATTCCCGGCCCCGAAACGTTCCCGCTACGCCTCTGCGTGGCCAGGGCATACGAGCCCATTCGCGGCTATACAATTTTTAGTAGGTAGCTTAAAAATTGAGAAAAAACAAGCACTTGAGCCAACTTGAGGCAACAAAGGCAACTTGAGGTGTGAGAGGCGCGAATCTAGACATAATTTGAAAAATGTAAAATCATGAAAAAAGTTTGGTAAACATTATTCAAAAGCCTGATTAAAGACATCGTGGTTTCAGTTCCACGAGTGGAAGGAGATATTATTTATAAATTAAGTTTTCTGCAAATAAAATCTTAACGAGAAAAGGAACGCAGCTTTGAGCCAATCGGAATTCGATCGAACTTCGCCGGCGAGATTCATAAACAATTTTCAAGCTTGTTTATAGGCGATCCAACTGCTTACACTGTGGGCGCTGGATGGGGAGGTATCCGTTCCGACACCCGGTAAGACCAATTTGGGAAATTAACTTTTCGAAATTGGTTCTGGTTTAGGTGTTCAGGGTAATGCTCCGAACTAAATTTCCTTGATCTTGTACTCATAGTGCAGGGAATGCCTTAGTTTGACATATACCAGGTAGTTGGTGTGGATGTATGACACGTTATATTAAATTTCATATAATTACGTTTCTTACTGGTGGCGCTACGGCAAATAATCCATTAAACCCAAAAACTGAAATCAGCAACAAGCTCATTGAGAAATTCGCAAGGTTAATAAACGTAGACAAGTCCTGCAGAAATACCAAGTTTCTTAGCTATCCACAAGAAAAATAATCATAGTTTTATGATGGTAGTATCAACCAGAAAGATCAACGACGTTCGAGGTAACCCATTACTGTTTCCTATACCTATATCCGGTAGTTATCATTATACTTATATAAGTACCCTGTTTCAGAGTATTAGCGAAAGCAGCAAAAATTTCAACATTTTGTTGAGTATGTATTATGTAGTTTAAAAAGCATTCCAATTTGAATCTGAACGTTCTTTAATCCTTTTTACAACACTGTAATTAAACTGTATAGTGGTCTGACCTACTAATTTAAAATAACACTTCAATTTGTCACTTGCAACATTAAACTGAAAGTGGGAAATTAAGGCCGTGGCCAAATACGGTTGCGGAGTTTCTTAAAGAAAGGTTTTGCAATTGTATTATTTATGTGCATTTTTCAGTCTTCGAAACGTAATATCTAATTCTAAGGATATAGGACACGACTACTGAATAATATATTCATAACTTCCTAGTATACACATAAAGCAATAAATAAATAATGATCGCATTGCAAATATAATTCTGGTGGGTTTCTCTGTCGCCAGGCCACACGCATCGCGCTCACTTAAGATGACAAAAACCACACAGGCTTATATATTTATCAGTCTTACCTTCTCGGTGACGGTCGAAGCCATCTCGGATACTTTCTCAGCCGCCATGCCGCCGTATCGCACCGCGCTTTCAGTAGCTGTGCGCGCCGCTTTAGTAACTGACGACGTGAAGAGTGACCACCCCTGCAAACAAACAGCAACTGAACAAATAATCAAACTTACAAATTGAACGCAAGCACTTTGCACGCGCGCCACTTTGGTTGGTTTGTCTATGTGGCTCATCTCTAAAGACCCATACGCTCGATTGCTGCTTTGTTTTGGGATCGTAACTATAACTCCACGTTTCGTCACCTGTTACTATGTCCCACACCAAATGTGGCACCCCTTAGTTGAATCTGGTAAGCATGGCATTGCACCAAGAGACGCGATTCGTTTTTTGAGCCTCAGTCAAATTGTGTGCTCAGTCAAACTGAGCTGTTACAACACACTTAAAGTCGTAGAAAATCATACTAAGAAAATTTTCACGATTTAAATCCATGGTGATATAGACAACCAATTTCAAAAATGACGCCAAAATGTAAAAACAAGTGACAGTCGGATGAAACAAACTGTATTCTATAGCCAAAGAGTTCCATTTTCAAATGTTTTAATTACTTTTTAAATATTGTTTATTTAAGTGGCCAGTTCCGGAAACTTATAGTGCGCCCTATATATATATATATATATATATATATATATATATAACGGCGCGTTATTGAAAAAAGTTGATTACTGACTATCGAGATATCAAATACTTAGTTTATGCGATGACTGTAATTATCATTATTTTAGAGCCGGTAACACCGAATGGAGTTGTACGTGTCAATTTTCGATGGGGAAGAGGTTTGACAGGTCGCCAGTGGCGTGAACACTTACAAACCCATTAGTTCTAAATTTAAGTAACTGTATTCACCGCCGGCTTAACGAATTGATGACGAAGAACGTATATACCAATAGTCAAATAATTCCTGACACAATCAGTGACGAGGGAGTTTACCACAATATCTCCCTGTACGGTTATACTCCGATATATATTTTTATACCGAACTCCAATCAAATTACCATTCCACTTTCGCCACAAAAATAACCACAATGGCGTATTATTTTAAATGGTTAAAAACCCCTATAACATGTAGGTCTTCTAGAAACGGGTTAAACGGGTTACTAATAGCATTCTAAAGTGCTAATCCAGCAATAGAAGAATTGAGAGCTTAGTTCGAAATACGCCCTAAAAGGTCCTGTTTGATAAACTACCATAACTTGCGCCATTCAATCTCTACAAAACGTGCACAATTCTGGTAATTCATTTCCATTGCCGGTAATAACGAAAATGAAAGAATTATTTCTACATAACCTAACCTTATTTATTGCTTAATGCCAAGAAGACAAAATGTGTTAAATTTGAATTACCTAACGTAAAATCGACTAGTCCAAGCATAGAAATAAACGGAGAAAAGTTAGACCTTGTTAGTAAAGCAGTCTTCTTGGGAGTGACCTTAGATAGTAAACTTCAGTGGTTTCCACATATATCGTCCCTGGCCAGCAGATTAAGCTCTGCTGCATACGCAGTCCGCAGAATACGTGAGCTTACCGATGTTAGTACTGCTAGACTAGTTTACTTTAGTTACTTCCATAGTATAATGTCCTACGGGATTCTCATGTGGGGTAAAGCGGCAGATATTCAAACCATATTTGTATTGCAAAAACGAGCGATTCGTTCTGTGTACCGTCTAGGCTCTCGGGTATCTCTCAGAGAAAAGTTTAAGGAGACTGGTATCATGACTGTGGCATCACAGTACATTTACTCAAATATTTTATATGCCCGTAAAAATATACATAATTTCAATAAGAAAGAAGATATCCATAATATTAACCTTAGAGCTAAATCCAAACTCATGGTACCACGATTTCGTTTAACCAAGGTAAACAACTCTTATATGGGGAACTGTATACGTTTTTACAATAAGATTCCGGAGCATATATTAAGTTTATCATTTCCTAACTTTAAAAATTACATTAAAAATATTTTGATCGAAAAATCATATTACAAAATTGAAGACTACGTGTTAGATAAAGATGTATGGAAAGACGACATGGCTCCAGAATCCACACAAATTTGATTCAAAGTGTATTCCATAGCATTTAAGTTTTTTTGAAAAGAGCAATCCCTAGAGTTTCTTGCTCGTTCTTCTCAGGGAGGTCAGCGTAGTGAACGAGCAGTAGCTTAAACGTGACGTTTTCAAGTGTAAATTTATTTTACCTATGGAATAAATAATCTTTGACTTTGACTTTGACCTTGGGTTATAAAAAAATCCGACCTCAAAAGTCATTCATCGCCTAGTTAGCCACCCTTAAAGGTGGAATATTTTCTTGAAATGTAAATAGGACCACATCTGAGGTACCTTCTTTCCATCAAAAAAAGAATCATCAAAATTGGTTCACAAATGGCGGAATTATCGCGTAACATACATACAAAAAAAGAACATATAGACGAATTGAGAACCTCCTCCTTTTTTGAAGTCGGTTAAAAAATTAGTATTCCTCGAACTTAAAAATATTCAATAATTGTTCGATATTACCCTTAAATAGAAGTGAAACGGGGTAATAAAAGTTTGTATTGGAACTTTTTAACGTGTGTTACGTTTTGCTTCAAATTTGGTTTCTGTACCTTAAATATGAAATAAACATACACATGTTTCAGGTTTTTAGAAACAATCCTTAAAAGGGGTGAGGTAGGGTATCGAAGTATTTTCAAAAACCTTTCCTATAGAAATCACATTCTTTACATTTGCAATCTTAAATATTTTTGAATTGTGTTTTAGTAGTATATAATGCATGTAAAAATTTTACGCGGACGAAGTCGCGGGCAACAGCTAGGGATACCTTCCTTTCACTTGGTGCAATTTCTCCGACAAGTGTGCTGAAGTGTGGCAGAAAGTAAGCTTGAAAGATTTTTCATAGAAAGAATTTCCGTTGAAAACATCCGTTAAATCCTGTACTCATTTCCAGAACATTTCAATGTAATTTCCAGTATCCAGACAGCGCAGCGTCGAGTTATTTCTTCGGTTTGTCGTCGCTGTGTCCAAAGATTGAAGACCGTTCATTTTTATCCTTAATAAAGAGCTATTTTAATCAAAAATAAATTACAACAACAGATTACGCAATGCATTATTCTTACGCATTCTTTAACTCATTATCGAACAACAGTCTAAACTGTTGGTGTTATACTGTATTTGCTATCCTCCTACTACGACTTGACTACCTCTGTGGCCGAACGGTTGTTATGCTGGGTTAAATTTGATTAAATATTTCGGACTTTTTCACACAATGCTGTGAAGTGCGATTTTAAATACATCGTGAAAGTTAATGAAACGAATGCGCTCGCAGTATTTGAAATATTTAAGCATAAATACATAGGTCTTAAAAATATATTCATTAATTAATATATATATTTGGTTTTTAAATGTTTGTATAAAGCTTGAATATATAAAAAACCTTAGAATAATAACGCATAGAAGGATAGTTTCATATCAAACGAACTGTCACAAGTGAGGCAAAAACCAAATTCATGTAGGCGTAAGCAACTTGTAACTACGCTCGTCGGCACGCACACAAATATACAAATAATGATGCCATGGAATAACATTTCCCTCAAAAGTGGGGAAATTGTATCTTGCTTAACTCATCATTAAGTTAAAGGTGCCTACAGATTTGCCCGACAATGTCGATCAGGTGCCTACAGATATGCTCGGTTTTGTCGATGAAAAACGAATATAGCACTTATTTGTAAATCCAAGATGGCGGACACGATTTTTCAAAATATGCTATATGGGTATCCTTTTCGAGGTATTTGGGGATGCTCATTACGAATATGGCACTCATTTC